TTTAAAATGAAGATTAGTTTTTGAATTTGATAACAAAAGTTCATCCTGTCCTTTGGAATTTTACTTTCAGGTAAAACTTGAGAGCTAGATGATCTTCCCATGACATCTTAGTCCCCTTGTGTTGCTGTAATAAAATACCTATGACTGGTTGATATATAAAGCAGAAAAGTTTATTTCTCTCGGTTCTAGAGGTTGGGAGGTCTAAGGTTAAGGTGTTAGCAAGTTTGGTGTTTGGTGAAGGCATGCTCTTTTGCTTCCAAGATGGCACCTTGTTGCTGCATTCTCAAGAGGGCATGGATGCTGTTCTATGGCAGAAGAAATGAAAAAGGGCTGCAGTATATGCTTGCTGTGTGAAGCTTGCTTTATAAAGGGCTTAATCACATTCACAAGGGAGAAGCCCTCATGACTTAATCACTTCCTAAAGGCCCCACTTCTTAACTATTATCACATTGGCAATCACATTCCAATATATGAATGTTTTATTTTATTTTGTTTTATTTCTATTTTATTTTATTTTTAATTTTTTGTTAAAGACAAGAGTCTGTCTCACTTTATTGCCCTGGGTAGAGTGCCATGGCATCATATAGCTCAAAGCAACGTCCAACTCCTGGGCTTAGGCGATTCTCTTGCCTCAGCCTCTTGAGTAGCTGGGACTATACCTGCCACAACACCTGGCTATTTTTTGGTTGCAGTTTGGCCAGGGCTGGGTTTGAACCTGGTACCCTACCTACTGCCATAGGCACTGCCCTTGTTTTATTTTTTATTTTTTGAGATAAAGTCGCATGTTGTCACCCTGGGGAGAGTGCTGTGGCGTCATAGCTTACAGCAACCTTCAACTCGGGCTCAAGCTATCCTCTGGCCTTAGTTTTTCTATTTTTAGTAGAGACTGGGTCTCACTTTTGCTCGGGTTGGTCTCAAACTTGTGAGCTCAAGCATTCCACTTGCCTCTGCCTCCCAGAGTGCTTGGATTACAGGCATGAACCATTGCACCCAGCCAGTATATGAACATTTTAGAGGACACAGTTAGATGATAATACATGGTGTTACTGTTGAAACTTATTACATATATAACCAGAAAAGTTTAATCAGTGCTTTTTTGCCTCCCTAACCTACAGAGTTATGTTCACATAAACCATAGAACTTTAATCCCAGTACTGTGGGCAGCTGAGGCAGCCTAGGCCTGACCTCACAAGTTTGAGACCAGCCTGAGCTAGAGGAAGACCCCGTCTCTAAAAATAGCCGGGTGTTGTGGGGCACCTACAGTCCCAACTACTTAGGAGCCTGAGGCAAGAGAATTGTTTGAGCCCAAGAGTCTGAGGTTGCTATGAGCTATGACTCTATGGCAGTTTACCAGGGATGACAAAAATGAGACTGTCCCAAAAAAAGAAAACAGAAAACCACAGAACTGGCTCAGTGCCTGTAGCTCAGGTGGCTAAGGCACCAGCCACCTACATGGGAGCTGGTGGGTTCGAATGCAGCCCGACCTGCCAAAAATCAATGACAACTATAACCAAAAAATAGCTGGGCATTGTGGCGGGCACCTGTAGTCCCAGCTACTTGGGAGGCTGAGGCAAGAGAATTGCTTGAGCCCAGGAGTTGGAGGTTGCTGTGAGCTGTGATGGCATTGCACTCTACCCATGGCCACAGCTTGAGACTCTGTCTCAAAAAAACAAAAACAAAAACCCATAGCGCTTGTGAGAGAAATATTCTATTCTTTCTATGATTATTAAATGAGGAATAAAGGTGGGTTTCTCATGTTCTGTAGCCCCCTAGGAGAAGGCTGTGGTCTGAGAGTCGCTAAGGTATTTTCTTTTTTTTTTTTTTTTGAGACAGAGCCTCAAGCTGTCCCCCTGGGTAGAGTGCTATGGCTTCACTGCTCACAGCAACCTCCAACTCCTGGGCTCAAGTGAGTCTCCTGTCTCCATCTCCCAAGTAGCTGGGACCACAGGCGCCCGCCACAATGCTTGGCCATTTTTTGGTTGCAGCCATCATTGTTGTTTGGCGGGCCCAGGCTGGGGATTCGAACCCGCCACCTTAGGTGTACGTGGCTGGCGCCTTTGCCGATTGAGCCACAGGCGCCAGCCAAGGTATTTTCTTTTTCTTTTTTCTTTTTTTAGTTGGGACAGACTCTCACTCTGATGCCCTGGGTAGAGTGCTGTGGCATCATCATGGCTCACAGGAAACTCAAAAAACTCTTGGTCCAAGTGATCCTCTTGCCTTAGCCTCTCAAGGAGCTGGGACTACATGTGCCTGCCATGATGCCTGCCTAGTTTTTCTACTTTTAGTAGAGGAGTCTTGCTCTTGCTCAAGCTGGTCTCGAACTCCTGAGCTCAAGTGATCCACCTGCCTGACCTCCCACAGTGCTAGGATTATAGGTGTGAGCCACTGCACCTGGCTTTGATAGTATTTTCAAAGTAAAAGATGAGTCTGCTGTTGCATAATTATTTACTAATAGGTGGGAATCATCTTTTAACCTCAAATTACCCAGATAGTACCATTATACACTTAGAACTATTTAGAAAATATAAAGCCATTAAATAATTGTTCAGTTTACTCTCTGTAAAATTATGATTCTTCAGGCAGGGGAAGAAAAGTCGTCTGAAGAGAATGTCTGTTTTGGAACTGCCAGTGATGATTCTGATATTGTTACCCTTGAGCCACCAAAGTTAGAAGAAACGGGAAATCAGGAAGTTACTGTTGAAGAAGCACAGGATCCAGAAGACTTTAACATGGGCTCTTCCTCCAGCAGCCAGTATGCATTCTGTCAGCCAGAAACCGGTAAGAACTGTAGAAGGATAAAAAATACACTGTTGAGAATCTTAAGGACTTGGATTACCATAGTTTATATAATAGGTCATCTTCTAACCGTAAGTCTCTTGAATATATTTGGGTAAACTCACTATAATTTTTTTTCTGTGAAATCTGTTATATCTGATTTTTTCTGAGACTCTATGGCCTAGAGTGCAGCAGTCTTTTGCTGTTACCAGTAACCGTCTTTTACTATTAAATAGAAGACAATTTCTTCAAGGAGATTTGGTACTATCTGAAATGCTCCAGAATGCATTTGGTATTTATTAACTCTTTAATAACAGAAGATTGAGCTACCTAAAAGCAGAAGGATATTAATATTTTTGCTTACAACAATATACATTCTGTATTACAGAAATAGTGAAAGAAAATTTGTATTGAAGTCTTGGATATACACTCAGTTATTAGTCATTCAGCAAATATTGTGAGTGCTGTGTGGCAAACAGGGTCCAAGATGCTGTAAAAATAGCAGTCTCCCAACACTTCTTACTTTGGGATCTCTGATACTATTATGAAAATATTTCTATTGTAAATCACCTTTTAAAGCAGTTAATGTCCATTGTTCATACAGAGTCATTTGGAGGTCAAAGTGTGAGTCGCTGAGCTTTGTTTCTACATTTGTTCAGCTTAGTTTTTTTTTTTCTGAGACGGAGCCTCAAGCTATCCCCCTGCGTAGAGTGCCATGGCATCACGCTCAGAGCAACCTCCAACTCCTGGGCTCAAGCGAGTCTCCTGCCTCAGCCTCCCAGGTAGCTGGGACTACAGGCGCCCGCCACAACGCCTGGCCATTTTTTGGTTGCAGCCATCATTGTTGTTTGGCGGGCCCGCGTTGGGGATTCGAACCTGCCACCTTAGGTGTATGTGGTTGGCGCCTTAGCTGCTTGAGCCACAGGCGCCGAGCCTCAGCTTATTTTTTAGGAATGTATATAAATAACATTTTTCAGTAAGATAAATATTTAGGCATAAAGTTCCTGGAAAATACTTACTTTTGGCATTGAGAAACTAGACAGTAGAATTTCTATTGTTCTAGTAGTTTAAGCTAATGTCAAGTAGAGAATCTTGGCTATCTCCTTTAATGAGGAATTATTTTCAGTTATTGTCTTAGTAGTTTACCAGTAAATAAGAGCTTGAAAACACTTCATTCAGTTATTTTTTTCGAACTTTCCTTGTTAGAGAAAAACTTTATCCTTCTTAGGATATGATACATGGAATATAGTATATTTATTTATGAGGGCTTAATATAATTGGCTTTAGAATCCTTGTTGGTCATCAGATTTATTTTTTATTTTTTGGCATGTAGCACTTTTTCTAGGATAGATTTATTTATTTTTATTTTTTGCTTGGGACAAAGTCTCACTATGTCACCCAAGGTAGAGTGCTGTGGTGTCACAGCTCACAGCAACCTCCAACTCTTGGGCTTAAGCGATTCTCTTGCCTTAGCCTCCCAAGTAACTGGGACTACAGGTGCCCACCACGACACCCAGCTATTTTTTGTTGCAATTGCCATTGTTGTTTAGCTGGCCCAAGCTGGGATTGAACCTGCCACCCTCAGTGTATGTGGCTGGTGCAGTAACCATTGTGCTATGGGTGCCCTGCCGACAGGCTTTTTTTTTTTTTTTTAACTTCCAAGATTTCTGCTGTATTTAAGTAGTTCTTTCATTCCTTCCGGTTTAATTTGAGAATGTTCATGGACCTGTAATGTCATTTGAAGAAAGACCACTGCAGAAGGGTCTAGGCTGATGTGTAAGAAATTTACATATAAAATGTAAAAGATGCTATACACTTTTTTTTATTTTTTAGGAACTTGGGCCTTCTAAGACCAATATTCTAATGTTTTATCTCCTTTCTAAACTTGTACTTGGGAATTTTGTAGACTTAGTTAAGAGAAATACTTGCTCAAGTGTATTTTTACCGATTGTTATCCTCCCTAAAGAAATTATTTCAGTGAACAAAATGTTAAAAATAAACAAAGGTGAAATTTTGGACATTATATATAAATCAGTTGCCATGAGCTTTTGTTCTCTTTTTCTTAGCCCCATGTTTTTTTCTTGGTTTATTAATTTCATGCTACCCATTGTTTAGTTAATTTTGTTTTTTCCTTTCCCTTTCTTCTTTATCTTTACAGTATTTTCTTTTCTTTCTTTCTTTTTTTTTTTTTTTTTGACAGAGCCTCAAGCTGTCCCCCTGGGTAGAGTGCTGTGGCACATAGCTCACAGCAACCTCCAACTCCTGGGCTCAAGTGAGTCTCCTGCCTCTGCCTCCCAAGTAGCTGGGACGACAGGCGCCCACCACAACGCCCGGCTATTTTTTGGTTGCAGCCGTCATTGTTGTTTGGCGGGTCCAGGCTGGGGATTCGAACCCGCCACCTTAGGTGTACGTGGCTGGCGCCTTAGCCGGTTGAGCTATAGGCGCCGAGCCAGTATTTTCAACTTCAATTTTATCTTCTTCTAAATTAGATTAGAGCAGGTCGATATTACACTTCCTTTGGTAGTGTAGTTTTTGTTGGTTTTGAGAATACCTGCTTCCTTTATATGTCCTCTCTTCCACGCTCAAAAAGCAGAGGTGGTAATTGTAGAGAAGCTGTATCATGTTTTCAAAAAAGGTGTGATTTTTACATTTTAATTTAGTACAGATAACAATGTTAAGTGATAAATAAGTATTTTCAATTCTTTTTCTTTTTTATTTCTTAATAAGCTTTATACATCTTTTTTTCCTGTCTATTTACAAAAGAAAGGTGGTGGGAGAAGCTGTGGAAGATTCCTGAATGCATTTGGGGATGGGATGATCAGCTGAAACACCATGTTCCTAGCCAACTCGCTTTCCAAGGTGGTGTGACTAAATCTGACCAGCTTCTCTTGAGCTGAATGTGCCTAGTCACATTTACTATTACTGAGTGCTTTAAAGATACCTGTTATCATCTGTGATATTTGAAACAGGTGTTCAAAATTGATCTTGTAAAAAAGCTGGCCAAGCTTATTGCATGCTTTTGCCTTGCTTGTGTCTTGGACTATGGGCCAAATTAAGCTTTAAAGGAAGTTAAAAATAAAAACATTTCATCTATTATGTGTATGGGTTAAAAAAGATGGCAGCATTAGATAAGGACATGACTGTATTGTAATAATATGAGCCAGGCTTGTTTGTTAGGATATATAATAAAGGCAGTATGTTAATATAGAATTGAAGATTTAAGGAATTTCATAGTTTATTTTTACATTTACCTATCTTAATTTTATGTCAGAAAGCCTGACTTAAATACTCCAGCCATGATCATGAATGCCTTTGTATTATGTAATGCTTTGTTTAAGTCTTCCTTTCTTTCTCTTTGTCCAAGAAATGTAACCTCACACCTGAGGCGACGGCATCTTGGAAAAACTAGTGATCAAGAATAACCAGATAAACATGATGGGCATAAGGGTCATGACCAAAAGATCTCTCAGTGGCATCTGTATCACTAAATATTAGGAATATTCATTCATTCAGTAGTCCCTTCTGTCTTTTTGTTTGTTGTCGTAAGTGTGAAAGTGAACTGAATACTCTACTATCCATCTTTAAAACGTATTGCCTAACTAAGTTACCAGCTTTCCTGTGGCATGGATATCCTGTTTTCAGAAGAACTGTTTGCTTTTTGGGAGCATGAATGTTTGTTGTTGAGAGCTCTTTGGATTAAATTCAGGTTCAGATTTTTTCCTTACTTTTTTCTAGTGCTTTTCTTCTACCTGGCTTGTGGAAATGACTACTGAGTTATTTAATCTTCTGTGTCACTATAGTATGTTGAGATAATGTTCAGGAATTATGCCTTTAGAAAAACTTGAAGGTAACTTTTCCAGGGGATAAGTTTCCCTGACTTGGTATTTCTTGTGCAGTTGTTTCCCCTTGGTGTGTTGTTTACTATTTTTCTCGTAAGGAACAGCACCAGACTAGGCCTTAATATTGGAGATAGCTGTTGTGTCACTTCCTCATGCTGACATATTTACTAGAGGGTAAAATTAATAACCTTCTAGTAAGAGTGGCAGTCGAAGGGAAGGGCTCATCTGACTTCTGGAAACCTATGTTAAACTGTAGTGCTTTCAAACTTGATTATGGGCTAATAAGATGGAAATGAAACTAGGGACTAGGCACACTCAGGACAGTTTGGTAGTTATTATACTTTGTAAATCACAGGATCTTGGTAGTATACTTTCCTGTGTTCCTTAAATTACCTCTATTTGTAAAGTTGAATGAAGAGACAGATTTTTTTTTTCTTTCTAGAAATTGTACTTAGTTATGCATCTAATAGCAATGAAATTTAAAGGACTATGAGAATCAGTGACTATTTTTTTTGGCTGGGGCTGGGTTTGAACCCGCCACCTCTGGCATATGGGGCCAGTGCCCTACCTACTCCTTTGAGCCCCATGCACTGCCCAATCAGTGACTATGCTTTCTCATAGTTTAAACTACAAGGGGGATAAAAAACCCCAGATATACATAAAGCACAGAATAAAGTCATTATCAGATTCTTGTATATTCTAGTTGGGATCTTTTATGTTCTATGATAAATTGAAAACTTGGTGTTTTTGTTTGTATTGTCTGGTTTTTGTTTTTGGCTGTCTCATGTCAGAAGGCATGTAGGGATGGATGGCATTAATTATTCTAAATGATATTTACTGGGAAAGTTTTTCCAAAACTTCTAATACCTTAATGTCAACATTTTTCTTTTCAAAATAGTATTTTCGTCTCAGCCTAGTGATGATGAATCAAGTAGTGATGAAACCAGTAATCAGCCTAGTCCTGCCTTTAGACGACGGCGTGCCCGGAAGAAGACTGTTTCTACTTCAGAATCTGAAGAACGGCCACTTGCTGCACAAGAACCTGAACCTTCTAAGAAGCTGAGTAGATGCCATTTCAGTAGTGGTCTCAATAAGTGTGTCATACTTGCCTTGGTGATTGCAATCAGCATGGGGTTTGGACATTTCTATGGTAAGTTTTTGAAAATTTTGTTATATGTAAACTGATAAGTGATACTTACCAAGAGTGAGGAATCCTGGGATCTATTTTAATATCATTAAACATATGACCTTGAAAACTCAAAACCTGTTTGAGCCTTACTTTTCTCATTTGGAAAGTGAGTGTTGCCTAGCTCACAAAAATGTTTCACTTAAATGAAGTGGTAGGTATTTTGCATGTATGTTTGTGACTTTTTTTTTTTTTTTTTTGGAGGCAGAGTCTATTGTGCTACGCTTGGTAGAGTGCTGTGGCGTCACAGCTCACAGCAACCTGAAACTCTTGGGCTTAAATGATTCTCATGCCTTAGCTTCCCAAGTAGCTGGGACTATGGGCGGCCACCACAGTGCCTGGCTATTTTTTGTTGCAGTCGTCGTTGTTTAGTTGGCCTGGGCCGGGTTTGAACCCTTGGTGTATGTGGCTGTCACTGTGACCAATATGCTATGGTGCTGAACCTGTTTGTGACTTTTTTAACATTAAAAGATTGGCAGATCACCTCTCTGAAATGCTCACCATGAGGCAGATTATTTTAATTTAGAATTACAGACAAATTTGAACTGTGATATCAAGAGGATTATTTAAATCTCACTTAACATAGCTACATTTGAAATGTCGAAATAATTAGTGCTCATTATTTCTACCTTTTTTTTTGTTGAGACAGTCTCACTGTCACCCTCAGTAGAGTGCCATGGTGTCACAGCTCAGAGCAACCTCAAGCTATTGGGCTTAAGCGATTCTCTTGCCTCTGAGGTAACTGGGACTACAGGTGCCTGCCGTTTCTTGATTGCAGTTGTCATTGTTATTTGGCAGGCCCGGGCTGGGTTCAAACCCACCAGTTCTAGTGTATGTGGCTGGCACCCTCACTGCTGAGCTACACACGCTGAGGTTTGTTATTTCTACTTTTGTGACATTTATTGTTGCTTCCATGGCGCACACGACTTGAGAATGTTTTTGTCTTTAGTTTTAGCTTATACTTTGCTCTTGTAAACTTGTTAGAGTTTATGTATGTTGATTTATCTCATCAACCCAGTTAGCCTGGTTTGTGTTACAATTAACATGTATCACTCATTTGATAAAAGACATCATAAGCTTTCACTTATTTATTCTTGGTTTGTATAATCAGATTTTTTTTTTTTTAAAGACATAGAATCTTAACTCTGTTGCCCAGGCTGGAGTGTAGTGGTACAATCACAGCTCACTCTAACCTGGAATTCCTGATTTTAAGCCTGGGCTCAAGCAGTCCTTCTACCTTGGCCTTCCAAATTACTGGGATTATAGTTGTGAACTACCATGCCCTGAATATAATCAGAATTTTTAAAGAATTGGGAAATCCTGGGCTTGGTGCCTATAGCTCAGTGGCTAGGGTGACAGCTACATGCACTGGGGCTGGTGAACTCGAACCCAGCCCAGGCCTGCCAAATGACAATGATAATTACAATAACAACCACAACAAAAAAGTAGCTGGGCTTTGTGGCGGGTGCCCGTAATTCCAGCTATTTAGGAGTCTGAGGCAAGAGAATTGCTTAAGCCCAAGAGTTTGAGGTTGCTGGGAGTTATGAAGCCATGGTACTCTAACATGGGCTACATAATGAGACTCTGTCTCAAGAAAAAAAAGAAATGCTGATAATTTGAACAAAATGATTTTGTCCAAATTAAATAGTTAGATTATACAGACTGAATGCTTTATGTATTTTAAAGTATTGGTAATTGGGCGGTGCCTGTGGCTCAAAGTAGTAGGGCACTGGCTCCGCATGCCGGAGGTGGAGAGTTCAGACCCAGCCCCAGAAAAATACTGAAAAAAAA